AAAATTTTGATGTTACTTTAAGCAACACAAAAATTATCATTTCTATTTTACTTGTATTAAGCAGGAAGAGAGGGATTTGGGTGGAGGAGTATCAGCAGTGTCCCAAACAAGGACTGGGTGGAGGACATCCCCTTAGGGAGCATTTCAGAAGGAATAAATATGCTCTTTTATTAAAAAGAGCTCCTATGCATACAAGTTCAAGAGTGTTGAGGCGGGGGTGAGGGTATGTGGCATGGACACAAAGGGGAAGGGCCGGGTAATGTGGTCTGACAGCATTAAAACCCCACACCCTTAAATTCTCCTGGGACTGCTGCCTAGGTCATGGCAGTTGTCCAAGTCCTCAGGACCCGAGGCAAGCAAAGATAGAGAAGAAAAGAAGTTATATAACAAAAGCAATATTAAAAGCAACACAAAAGAATATTAGTGGGGCTGGGGTTGTGGCTCAGTGGTAGAGTGCTTGCCTCACACATGTGAGGCACGGGGTTCAATTCTCAGCACCACATATGAATGAATGAGTAAAATAAAGGTCTATCAATACTAAAAAATATTTTTTAAAAAAGAATATTAGACAGAGAGGCCTGAGTTATCATTGACTAATAGACTACAGATTATTTATATTTTCTTCTTTTTCTTTGTATTACCTACAGGGAACATGTATTACTTGTGTAATGTACCTCTATCCAGTCAAACGACCTTGGACAAGTTTCTTGGTTTCTGGAAAATTACAATACAGGACTACTATGGAGAATACAGGAGTCTATTAACATAGGTCATATAGTATTTGATACAAGTGGGTATCCAGTAAGTGGTGACAATTATTATTTAATGAATGGCCCTACCTACTCCTCTAGCCTCCCCTCAAATGGTGATCAACCATGATCAACTATATTGCCCAGTCATCTTCCAAGTCTTGAACTTGGGTTATAGCCTCTAATTGATCTTTCTATTTGCTCCACAGGGTGGGGGCAAGGGGTATAAAATTAGGTGAAATTCTGGACTAGGTATAGCTCAGTAGTAGAATGCTTGTTTAGCATGTACAAGGCCTTGGGTTTTATCACCAACATCGTGCAAAAACAACGACGAGAAGGTGAGATTCTAACTGATGTCATTTGTATCATTTTCCTAAGTATTTTCCTAGAAGAGGATGCTGGGAAGTCAAGAAAGCTAAAAGTTTTTAAGTACTACATTGGTCCCAACACTAGCACAGCCTCTTTTCTCCAGCACCCTATTCATTCTACCCAGCAAGCCTGAGAATCTTGATGCTGCCTCTGGATCGTAATTGGC